GGCAAAGGAAGTGTTACACAGCAGAATCTTTTCTAGGAAAACACAGTGTTTTCTATGAAACAGGAGTCCCCTCCAGGGCCCACATCTGTTCTGTGTCATATTCTGAGAAACGTAGAGTCTCAAATACAGACCAGAGAACAAGTGTGAAGATACAAATAAGAGGAGCGGTTGAGAGAGCCCATGGTTTGGATGACAGGAATGGTGGTGGAAGAAAGGAATTTAAGTACCGCGCTAGTAGATATTGACCCAAACCTAACGATATTCTTTGTATTCAGGGGGAGAAAACAAAAAGCAACCCACTGACATACTTCAAATTCTAATCTATGGGAAGACTGCTAACATTGTACAAGTTAATTCATTATTTTGACAAATTTTTTACTGTTGTGATATTCACAAAAGTTCTTACAATAGATAATGGCTGAATTCACGTCCTCCTCATTCTCCCTTAGCTTCCCTTCCCTCCCCATTCCTAGAATGGGTTCAAAATCTCATTTTTCCATTTACACACGAGTACATGGTATTTCTACCATATTTACCCTCCTACATTCTTTCCTTATATCTACACCTCTCCACTGGCGTCAATGACCAGACAGGACCAGTTTTACCTTCCTATTCTCCATTTTTTAAAAAACAACATTTTGTTTGTTTAAGATAGGTATACAGGGAGTTTCATTATGACATTTCCATGTATATATACATTGTAACCTCAACTGGATCAGCCCCTCTGTGTTTCTCTTTTTACCTTAGTTCATTCTTAGTCCCATGTTTAAAAAATTCTATATTCATTTCTGTATAGAATGTACATCATTCACACTCATATGCTGAACTTCCTTCTTTTTAAAAAAAATTTTATTTCTTCCCCTGGTGCTGGAATTTGAACTCAGGGCCTTATGCTTGCCAGGTAGGTGCTCTACCACTTGAGCCACCCCACTGGCCCTTAGGCTGTTAGCGTGGCTATGTCAGTATCATGAGGCAAAGGGTAACGAAACCTGCTGTTCTCTTTCACTGGTGTATCTTCTCTATTTAATGACAAACTCTTCCGAGGCCACCTGGCCCAAAGCACAAGACCCTATCTGAAAACAAACAAACTGAAAAAACAAAAAGGACTGGGGCGGTTTGTGGGGGGTGGGGAATGGCTCAAGTAGTAGAGCACTTAACTTGCATAGCAAATGTGAAGACCTGAGTTCAAACCCCAGTACTACCTCCCCCTCAAATTTGCAACCTCTTAGAGGAAGGGCTGCATTTTCTCAAGATCCAGCAAGAGAGTGCCTAGAGATAAGTCAAAGGCCAAGCCAGGGGCATTCAGCATAAGGCTGAGATGCAGAGATAGCAGAAAACCTGTTCTGTGTGGCAGAGATAGTAGAAGAGAAGCCCAAATCTGACAGGTGATGAATTCACAAGGATTCTGGCTTTGATCGCTTTGGTAAACGAAGTAAGGAACCCCAAAATGTTCATGCTGTGATCTCTAGACACTGACTGCGTCACCTATAATGGCAAAAGAGCCTTTGTAACCTTTTGTGATTAAGTCGATGATCTAATAGGGAGATCATCTTGAGTTAGTATATGCTAAGCGTATTCATAAGCGTTTTGAGGGATGACAGGATATTATTTTCCTGACTACACAGTAGGGCAACGTATTTCTTTTTGGTGGTACTGGGGTTTGAATTCAGGGATTCACACTGGCTAGGCAGACCCTCTACCACTTGAGCCACTCTCCCAGGCCTTTTTGCTTTAGTTATTTTTCAGAAACAGTCTCATGCTTTCACCTTGTGGCCAGCCTGGAACCTCGATGCTCTTAACCTCTGCTTCCCTCATAGCTGGATTACAGGCATGTGCCATCTCAGTTGGCACAATAATTTAAAAAATAATAAAAAAGAAGATAAACATGATTTTTAAAAAGAGAAAGGAAAAACTGTTGGGTGTGGTGGCCCTTGCCCGTATTCTCAGCACTCAGGAGGCCAAGGTAAGAGGTCTACAACTTTGAAGGCGACCTGGGCTACATAGTGAGACTTGGTCTCAAACAAGGAAAAACAAAAACAAAAACAAAATGGCCAAGGATCAGGCATGTGACCCAGATACTTGGGGGGCAAAGATCAGTTCAAGATCAGTCTGGGTAAAAAGTTCACAAGGACCTTATCTCAGCCAATAAAATCTGGACCTGGTGGGGCTTACCTATCATCTCAGCTTCATAGGAAGCATGAAAATAGGATTGTGATCCAGGCTTGCCAGGACTTAAACACAAGACCCTATTGAAAAATGACTAAAGCAAAAATGGGCTGGGTGAGGGCACGGCTCAAGTGCTACAGCACCTGCCTATTATACATGAGACCCTGTGTTCAACCTCCAAGTACCAACAACAACAAAAAGCCCGAAAACAGAGTAAGAAGGCAAACACAGGGGCTAGAGGCACGGCTCAAATGGTGGAGTTCCTGCCTAGCAAGCAGGAAACCCTGACTTCAAACCCCAAGCCTCAGTATTGCCAATAAAGAAGGCAAACCACAAAATGCACATAGAAACCCAAAATGCAAATAGAAACTTCTAAGACAATAAATCAACAATGGCCTTATATTCCAGGATATATATTTTAACACTCCAAGTGAAAGAAAAGGAAATACCTAACCAAAAAAATTAACAAAGTACTGAATAAGCATTTTGCAATGTAGATAAAATAACCAATAAATACTTGCACTAATATTAGTTTATGCGTATTAGTTTCCTGTTACTGCTGCAACAAATTTTTCCAAACTTACTTGGCTGAAGACAATAACAAATTTATTGTCTTTCCTGGAGAGGTCAGAAGTCCAAAATGGGTCTCACTAAACAAAATCAAGGTGTCAGGAAGGCCATATTGTTTTTGAAGCCGTTAACAGGGAGAATCCATTTTCATGCCCTGAAGCTGTCATTTTTTTTTCCATATATTATTTTTATTTTTTTTCCTTTTTATTATTCATATGTGCATACAAGGCTTGGTTCATTTCTCCCCCCTGCCCCCACCCCCTCCCTTACCACCCACTTCGCCCCCTCCCTCTCCCCCCCAATACCCAGCAGAAACTATTTTGCCCTTATTTCTAATTTTGTTGTAGAGAGAGTATAAGCAATAATAGGAAGGAACAAGGGTTTCATCATCAATAGCTATAGCAAGGTAGCGGGATATAAAATCAACATAGAAAAATCATTAGCATTTCTATACACTAACAATGAGCAAACGGAAAAAGAATGTATGAAAACAATTCCATTTACAATAGCCTCAAAAAAAATCAAATACCTAGGTGTAAACCTAACAAAAGATGTGAATGACCTCTACAAGGAAAACTATACACTTCTGAAGAAAGAGATTGAGGAAGACTATAGAAAGTGGAGAGATCTCCCATGCTCACGGATTGGTAGAATCAACATAGTAAAAATGTCTATACTCTCAAAAGTAATCTACATGTTTAATGCAATTCCCATCAAAATTCCAATGACATTCATCAAAGAGATTGAAAAATCTACTGTTAAATTTATATGGAAACACAAGAGGCCACGAATAGCCAAGGCAATATTCAGTCAAAAGAACAATGCAGGAGGTATCACAATACCTGACTTCAAACTATATTACAAAGCAATAACAATAAAAACAGCATGGTACTGGCACAAAAACAGACATGAAGACCAGTGGAACAGAATAGAGGACCCAGATATGAAGCCACACAACTATAACCAACTTGTCTTTGACAAAGGAGCTAAAAATATACGATGGAGAAATAGCAACCTCTTCAACAAAAACTGCTGGGAAAACTGGTTAGCAGTCTGCAAAAAACTGAAACTAGATCCATGTAATATCACCTATACCAAGATTAACTCAAAATGGATCAAGGATCTTAATATCAGACCCCAAACTCTTAAGTTGATACAGGAAAGAGTAGGAAATACTCTGGAGTTAGTAGGTATAGGTAAGAACTTTCTCAATGAAACCCCAGCAGCACAGCAACTAAGAGATAGCATAGATAAATGGGACCTCATAAAGCTAAAAAGCTTCTGAAGCTGTTATTTTGGACTGAGCTCCTACTCTGTCCGAACAGACCAAACCACGTAAAACCAGAATCACTTCTGCTCAGTGCTATAAATCAAACTTTAAGGAGACAGGTTTCAAAACAGACTGGTTTTTGCCACAGTCCAGTCTGTCTATGCACCATAATCAGAATAATAAATTATTCACCTCTGCTTCAGCCTTTGTTTCTTGTTGAACCTTCATTAATCATGAAAAAAGTGGCCCTACAAAGCAGTAAGAAAGAAGTCTTGCTCCTAACAAGTAGTGTTAGGACAACAGGCTCTTATTAAGGAAAAAACAACACCTACACACAGCTGGACATGGTGGCACACACCTATACTCTTACTACTCAGGAAGCAGAGGTAGAAGGATTTCAAATTCCAGGTCAACCTGGGGAAGTTGTTGAGACTCTATCTCAAAAACAAAATACAAAACAAGAGGACTGGGAGGTGAGGTCCTGGGATTGTCCCCAGCACTACCTGTCCCCCAAAAGAAAGCCAGGCGCTGGTAGCCTGTGCCTTCTATCCTAGCTACTCAGGAGGCCAAGATCATGAGGATCACAGTTCAAAGCCAGCCCCAGACAAATAGTTTGTGAGACCCTATTTTGAAAAAATCTGTCACACACACAAAAAAAGCAATTGGTGGAATGACTCAAATGATAAGAGTACCTGCCTAGCAAGTGCGAGGCTCTGAGTTCAAACCCCAGTGCCACAAAAAAGAAAAAAAACCTTGATTCTCAACCTCATAGCATGAACAAAAATGGTAAATTTTGCACCAGAATTAGGAGGAGGGTTTCTTAAAACAGATCACCAAACTCAACTTCCACCTCCAAGTTTCTGACTCAGTGGGCCTGGGATGAGGCCTGAGGGTTTGCATTTCTAACAAGTGAATGTGTGGTGCCGGCCTGTGGACCACGCTTTGAGAATCTGTCTTAGAGCATTGGACACACAAGCTACAAAATACTGATGTCATGCTGGGAGACAACCAGGAGAACCGAGGGAAGCTAGAAGGCAGCAGCAAGGCTCGCAAGGAGAGGACGGCCTTCACCAAGGAACAGCTGAGGGAGCTGGAGGCGGAGTTCGCCCACCACACCCGGCTCCACAGATATGAGATCGCTGTTAACCTGGACCTCTCCGAGCAACAGGTGAAAGTGTGGTTCCAGAACCGAAGGATGAAGTGGAAGCGTGTGAAGGGAGGTCAGCCTGTCTCCCCCCATGGGCAGGACCCCGAGGATGGGGACTCTGCAGCCTCTCCAAGTTCAGAGTAAGGTTCTCCATGGAAAAAAAAGGACTGAGGACTGAGCCCTCCTTCCCAACTACACCCCCATCCCATCTTCACCTTCTCCCCTCCACCCCACCTTGCATCAACTCTTGGTTGTGATGCTACCCAGAGTGACCGGAAGCATCACATTTGTCAGAAGAGCTGTCAGCATTGCTCTATCTTAGCTGCCCCTTCGAGGGCCTTGGTATCCCACACTCCTGTGGAATCAAACAGTGCCTACTGGACTGGATGAATCTAGAAACTCTCGGGAGGCTGCTTCTCAGGGTCTCTCAGCTGCCATCCACATCTCTCCTGCCATCTTCCTCCTGCATCCGCCAGGCTTCATCCAGGTCTGGACACCACCTGGCCTGCGGGGAGAGGAGCCTTGGAACCAGTTGGTGACTCATAAAAGCAAATGCTCCAGAAGAAAACAAATGATGGAGATGCACACATCCTGGCCCACTTCTCCACTTTTTCTCTCTAAACAGCTTTGAGGGCCATTCGGTCTTCCAGAACCCCAAAGGACACCGGTGTGAGGAGGGTTAAAGACAGCAACTCAGACTGCAAATCAGAAACCTTTCCCTGTCTCCAAGTTTTTTGGCCATTGAATAGGCAAATTTATGAGCACTGACTGGGAGAAGACCAAACAATAACCTAGTGTAGGACTCTTTGTCCCTACACTGCCCTGTTCACGAGGGCTTCACTGAGTGGCTGGGGATGAACTCTGGACTGCACCTGCTGCTCCAGCTCAATTTGGGGGAACGGCTGGAACTGTTGAGCAGAGGTCCAGGAGGTGGAGCAGCTCTTACTTTCCAATCCGTTAATGAATTGAGGGCTGGAAAGTGGCCCCTGTGTCCCAGGATGGGGAAATAATGCCAGGGCTGCCAGGTGAGGACCTGGAGAGACTTGGAATCCTGGACAGGAAGGTTTGCCCACTGCGGTGTCCTGTGCTCTCGAAGGACTCTGACTGCACACAGGACAGGAAAACAGTCCCTCTCCCTCCAGAGGACACACTGTAGCCCTCCTGTGTGTTTCACATTCCAACCGCAAGGTTCATGTGGATGCACTGCTCAGCCTTCAGCCTCATCTTCTAGAGATGCCACTCTGCAGACTGATGGACAAACAGCCTGGGACAAACCCCTTGGAAAGAGACCCCTGCCTGCCTCTAAGCTGGGGCTTAATCTCTCCACCCCAGCTGTGTTGCAGAGGGAGGTCAGCAAGAGTTTGGATCTCTTGCACTTAGATTTAATCATTCTTGTGTGAAAATAACCCACCTCCCCTCCCCCAAAAGAACAAAAGCTGTGGAAAATGACTGTCAAATGAGATGACTGGTTAGCATATGTGTAATTTTTTTCTAAAGCATACTTCATATATTTTCCTAAGATTACATCAAGGTAACTGTTCAAGGTCAATTCATTTTGTAAGAAAACTCTTGGAGAAATAAAATCAATAAAAAAGCAAAAAATAAAAAAATTAAAAAAAAAAAGACTACCTGCCTAGCAAGTGTGAGGCTCTGAGTTCAAACCCCAGTGCCACAAAAAAGAAAAAAACCTTGATTCTCAACCTCATAGCATGAACAAAAATCAATTCAATTTAATCAGTTAAAGCATCTCAAAAACAACAAGGAAAAGTAGCTTTCTGGCCTTGGAGTAGTAAAGAGTTCTTTTTTAAATTAATAATACATAATAATGGACGTCATTATGACGTTTTTGTTCTTGCAAACTCTGTACTTCCATCATACTTATCCATCCCCTTTGCTCTCTTTGCCCCCCCAACTCGTCCTCCTACTTTCATGTCATTTAAAAAAAATATATACAGACTCTGCATATGAGAAAACATGCAATGTTTTCTGAACCTGGCTGATTTTCATCCATTTTCCTGCAAAAGGCATAATTCCATTCTTCTTTAGGACAGAATAATACTCTATGGTGTATATATACCACACCTTCTTTTCCATTCATCTAGTGGTGGACTGATCCATGACTTGGTTATTAGGAAGACTGTTGCAATAACCACAGGTGTGCAGGGAGCTCTCCTGTCCGCTCCTCCGGGTGTACACTCAGGAGTCACATAGCGGGATTATATGGTAGCTCTATTTTTAGGTTTTTTTAAATTATCATATTATTATTGTTCTGGGGGTACATTGTGACATTTATAAAAGTTCTTACAATATTTCATAGTTGAGCTCACCCCCTCCGTCATTCCCCTTTATCCCTCCTCCCCGCATTCCTGTAATAATTTCAACAGGTCTATTTTTCCATTTGCATACATGAGTGCATAGTGTTTCCATGCCATTCACCCTCCTACACCCTTTCCTTATATCCTCCCCCCACACTGCACCAGACCCACCCACCTGCAGGACATGTTTTGCCTTCCTGCTTCCTGTTTTTGAGTTTCCTTGTGACATTTCTATGTAGATATGTATTATAACCTGAATTGGATCATCCCCTCTATTTTTTCTCCTTTCCATCCTTAGTCATCTTCTTATGGTGATTTCAAGGGTTAAAAATTCATTCTTGCCAGGCACCAGTGGCTCACGCCTGTAATCCTAGCTATTTCAGGAGCAGAGATCAGGAGGATCGTGGTTTGAAGCCAGCCCAGGCAAATACTTTGGAGACACTACATCTCAAAAAACCTATCACAAAAAGGGCTGATGGAGTGGCTCAAGGTGTAGGCCAGGAGTTCAAGCCCCATTACCACAAAAAAAAAAAGAAAATTGTATACCATTCTTGCATAGAAAGTATATCAACCACATTCACCTTCTTCCTTCTTTTACCTGCCCTCTCCGTTAGTGACCTTCCCTTAGCAGGACCTGTTTTCCATACTATTGTTTGTATTTATATTGGGTCTATATTCCACATGAGAGAAAACATGTGACCTTTTGGCTTTCTAGGCTAAATTCACTTAAGATGATGTTCTCCAATTCCATCCATTTTACCTATAAACGACCAAATTTCTTTCTTCTTCTTTCTTCTTCTTTTTTTTTTTTTTGGTGTGTTACTTGGGTTTGGAACTCAGAGCCTGCACCTTTGGCCACTCCACCAGCACCAGACCTTTTTTATGAAGGGTTTTTTTGAGATAGGGTCTCATGAACTATTTGCCTGAGCTGGCTTCAACTGCAATCCTCCTAATCTCTGACTCCTGAGTATCTAGGATTACAGATGTAAGTCACTGGCACCGTCCTCCTTCTTTGTGACTAATTAAAATCCCACTGTACATAAATACCACATTTTCTTAATCCATTCAACAGTCTTGGCTGTTTCCATAGCTTAGCTATTTTGAATGCAATAAACATGGGTGTTTGTATTGTAGCCTTCAGGTATATCCACAGCAGTAGTATTGCTGAATAATATGGCAGTTCTTTTTTTTTTTTTTTTGGCACTGGGGTTTGAACTCAGGACCTCATACTTGGTAGGGAGGCACTCTTACCGCTTGAGCCACTCCACCAGCATAAGCAGTTCTAGTTTTAGTTTTTTGAAGAAGCTACATACTGATTTCCATAGTGGCTGGACATATTTACATTCCTACCAACAGATGGTAAGTGTTTCTTTTTGGGAAGAGTTCTTAAAGAAAATGCAGACATTTAGTCATAAAGCAAAAGGCTGATAAATTGGTCTGTACTGGAATTACATTAAGAATTCTCTTTCATCAAGGTGCACTGTTAAGAGAGTGGAAAATGATGCAGAAAATTGGAGAAGATATTGCAACCCATATCCACAACAAATGAAAGAACTCACATCCAGAATCTATAAAGAATTTCTGTCCGGGTACCAGCGGCTCACACCTGTAATCCTAGTTACTTGGAGACTGAGGTCAGGGGGATCATGGCTTGAGGCCAGTCCCTGCAAATAGTTCGTGAGACTGCCCATGTCCAAATTAACCAGAGCAAAATGGACTGGAGGGTAGCTTAAGCAGTAGAGCACCTGCTTTGCAAGCATGAAGCCCTGAGTTCAAAACTCAGTCCTGCCAAAGAAAAAGAAAAAAAATTTTCTACAAATTGATAAGGAAATGACAGGCAACCCAGTTAAAATGGGCAGAAAATACTTTAACAAAGATTTAACAATAAAGGAGAATTCAAATGACCGATAAATATATGAATAGATTCTCAGCTGGATTAGTAAGAAAATGAATACAAGTTAAAATCATAAATGGAATATCTCTTACATATTCAAAGAAAGGATAAAATTAATGGCAAATACTAACAACAATGGTGAGGATGGGAAAATCACAGAATCGCTCATATTATGTTTGGTACTTTTTGGAAAAAAACATTTTGGAAAATTATTTGCCAGTATTGACTAAACTTTATAACTTGCATTTCTAAGGACCAAGCAATTCATTTTTATTTATTTGTTTATTTTTTTGGTGGTGCTGGGTTTGTTTAAGCCACACCTCCAGGACCAAGTAATTTTGTTAATGTGTAAATATCCAACAGAAAGGTATGAACTGTGTTAAGTGACAGTAAGAACAAGAAGTTTATAATACATATATAGATAGCCCAGCTCATGCTGTAATCTAGCTACCTCAGGAGGAAGAGATGAGGATGGAGGTCTTGAAGCCAGCCCTGGCAAAGTTCATGTGATCTATCTCAAAATATACACACACACACACACACACACACACACACACACACGACTGGCTCAAGTGGTAGAGCATCTGCCCTAGCAAGCATGAAGACCTGTGTCAGACCCCTGTATTGTCAAAAAAAATAATAAATACGCTCACATATTGAAGTTTTGTTAAATTTCCACTTGATGAAAATTAACAAATAATAGCTTCACATAGTAACATGGCGAATCTCACAAAATATGGTACACATAAAGGAGTACACAATTATGATTACTTTTTGTGAAATTAGATATTGGGCAAAAATTAAGTATAATGTCCTAAGTCAAGGTGCTCATTACGTTAGAAAAAACAGAGGGTAGTAGTGTCAGGAAACATAAAAGGAGGTTCTGGAGGTTACAGGATTATGTTTCTTGACTTAGGTTGTGATCACATAGGTGT